ATTGTGGTTCAAAATTGAACCTAATCAAAGCCAGCAGTACAACAACATTTGTGGGTTGACACACAAGCGACTAGGACACACTCCACGAGAGTGTGGAGTGTGAAGTGTTTTCATGAATGCTGCTCGAAGGATCACATCACACAATATTAAAAATAAGCACGGTCAAAATTGTAACAGAGAAGGCATGATAGGAGGATATAGGAAGTGTGAACAGTCCAGGGCAGAAATGGAGATACCACAACTGTTTAACACATATTTGGTCAAAGGATGCGCTTCACTTGTTTCTTTGACGAGTTGTTGAATGGTGCTATGAATGGCAAAACGTCTGGGAATGTACCACGTCAACAGTCCTACTCTGGAAATGATGATGCATACAATGGACTCCGGACAAGGTGCGTTCCTCCAAGTCTTCCTAACAAAATGACCAAGTTGCGAAAACAAGGTCAAACAACTTTTGTTATATTTTGCTTTATACTTTCCTGAAAACGCCTTGAGCAGCAAGTGCAAGTGGAGATGAGTGATGCCTGGCGCTTCCGGCAAAGTCTGGATTGTGTAATGTCATCTTATGCCTTGATCCCAGGACATTTGAAGTGCCGCCCGATAGTTGGACAATCTGGCTTGTGTTTACTTTCCATAAGGTTACACTTCTCGACCCAGGAGGCGCACACAATCACGATTACCGCCAAACCGCAACGGTCAAGCCTCACACGGCCAGTCTTCGGGGACCCGTTTATACTCAGTGTAAAACAATCCGTCGTCGTGGTCACTGTTTACGTCATTTGGACCAGCGCACCGAGCTAATCCACATAAATACACACGTACACACACACATATATATATATATGGACACACACACACACACATGCTTTGCAGCTATGGCGCTGGTGGACTTCCCAGGGTCTCCTGCTGCCTTGTGCCAATCATGTCCGCGGAGGGGTCTCTACGCCTATACCACAGTGCACCAGTAAAAGGTCATTCAAACCAGGCCCAGGAAAAAACTGCGCCGAGAGGTCTCGAAGCATCTCGTAAACCAATGCCACTCATTTTCTCGTAGTTGGCGAACAGGAATAAACGAGCATTTACGAAAAGTGGAAGACCTCTTATCTGCCGGTTGCTGCTCTGTTTGGAGTAACTCTTCATTCATCACTCTCGCTCCATTTATCTGGCACTATTGGCACAATAAACATCTATTTAGATTACCGCGTCGATCACACAATTCTTGGAGGAATTGGCATAAGAAGGTCCTATCTTCGTTTGAGTTTGGAGGTGGAAAAGGAAAAGGTCGAGGTGTTTTGCCTCTTTCGGTTGGTCTACCTCCAGACTTGAGCCCTGTATAGCCGATGATCATGTAGATCATATATCATTGGTAGGATATGTAGGAAAACCGGTTTTCAACAAATCCCATGATAGACAGCTCATTTCGTTTGAAGACGCGAATGAACGGGCTTCTTTAGTTGGCCCCATCGGAAGCCGAAGGTGCATTGTCTTGGAGAGAAGATAGTAGATTTGTGCGAATCACGCCTCGGATCTCCGTCCCACAACTTTGATGAATCTATGCTGAACTTTAGTCCTTCATGTGATGCATATCTTCCGACTAGGAAAACAAGCTTTACGAAGTGGTCTGACATATGATGGACTAAAGCCAGGCGCAGATTGATCGGGGTCACGGGATGGAGAGCCGAGAAATTATTGGCACAATGATACAGCTTCAGCTCCAAGACAACGCCAATTTGATTTCCGTTGTGACCAACTTACGAATTCCTTCCATTCGCATTTTCAAAAGAAATTAAAAGCATTCTAAACCGACGGGGTATTTTCCGTTTTATAAATAGATTTTCGAGATTACTATTAGATCATATGATCTAGACACGTTAATCACTATGCAACCCTGACTCTAGTACCCCTAGGTCACTGGGCGGATGTGAATTTTAAGGGGGCCAGTCATTTTCCAAACTCGCATTCTTTGGTGGGATTGACGATAAAGCATAGTTGTAGTTTCTATAGCAAGCAACTAGGTTACTTATTCATATTTTCTATAAGCAGGCTTTCGAGATGTTTTATGCCTATTTCGTTTTAGATGATAGCAAATACAACTTTGCTTCATCGATAATCACATCACAGAATGTAATATGGGAAAAGGCATGGCCTTCCTTAAAATTCACATATGTCCTGTGACCCAAGGACACTTGTGGTAATGTGGTTATCGTGTCGAGATTATATGCTGCATTGCTATGATTTTAGTCCCTCTGAGGGTGTTGATGAGGCTTAGGCGAGGTCGAAACTGCAGTCCACTCCAGTCAGGAGGAGAATACCTTTTGGGGAAGCAAATCTATATGAAATTAAATGGAATCATAATGACTACTTATATCATTGGGAGAACTTGAAATACATACACACTACTACCTCTTGCCTCTTTATCCTAAATTAGTCGTATGAATATTATCCTGCTTTGATGCTCTCTTCCAAGCGGTAGGCGGACGAAAGCTCCTCAGGCATTCCTCGGAAGCCAACGCGAGTATCTCGACGACAGCGTCAAGTATGAGTTTCCAGTGAAGCCATACGTGGGCTTCATAGGTGGAATCGAGATTGGAAGCTGTTTCCCTCACACTTTTAGTAGACATGCGAACAATGACCTCAGGTGTAGTAACTAAAGTCTTACTTTTGTTCGAAAACTACTTGTACCGAAAATAAGTAGGCTAAAACGTATGACGATCCCATTATAAATTTGATTGGAAATGATGATGCATATAATGGACTCCGGACAAGGTGCGTTCGTCTAAGTCTTCCTACCAATATGACCGAGTTGCGACCACACAAAAGGTCATACCATCTTGGTCTTCAAACCTTCAAAAAATATATAGGCCTTTTTGTCTGACCATGTTCGTCTAGGTTTATCAGGAGATTCTTCGAAACCCACCTTTTCTTCTGTGCATATTTGTGTTCATGCCGATTAGAATGTGAATTCCTCAGCGTAATTATGTGTTGGGGTCATGTTCTATGTGGTACCAAGCGAAAGCTTTTGAGGCAAGACTTCAAAAACAAGCAAAATTATGTGGATGAGGCTTAATCGAGAGCTTTACAGAAGCAGCCTTTGTCCATCAATTTCACGGCTTGGTCGACTCTAAAGACCAAATACTTTTAAACGGGCTTATATTTAATTTCTGCCAAGTATCATTGCACAATATTACATAATTATCTAAAATTCTTCCTATAAAGTATACATGGATCATGCGGTTTTCACATTTCCCGAAAGCAGTTATATAAACTCAGATAGAATTTATGTACCGAACCGAACAGAGGAAACGTAAGAAACCCTATCCTTAACGAAACACCCTCAAAGGAGACAGAAACTCTGTCTTTTCGCAGTTACATTCATCCCATAGACTTGACTCTCCTCAATTTGTGTCGAGATGTCTACTTCTGGTGAAAAGCCGATTGACAAAGACAGCGTCTCGGTGCTTCTTTCATATCGAACGAAACGGGACCCTTAACAACGAAGTATGAATGAATGATCACGTTTCTATCTTTATCCTCTTGGTGTTGATGTGTGCTAACAACCACAAGCTAAACTTACCCATCCTTGGTCCTAAGCCGTGAGAGCACTTGGCTAAACTCGGCGCAGTAGATGGTACACTCTTGTAAATCTTCTTGCAAGCAATTAATCGTCTTCTTGGACTGTAATCTTTGTGTGGGAATCTAATTTCCAAAAATATTATTTTATCGTGTCTCACAAATGAGGAGGATGACGATACTGTCGAGTAATCGACGCACAAATAGCAGCTCAGTACCAAGTTGACGAGCTGAAAAAGTCTATCTTAGTTGTTATAACAACAAAAAACTATAGTAGGCTGCAGTAGCGTTCATGTAGACGTGCATATTTACTTTTGATTGACTCTGGCGGCTAGGCAAGATTCGTCAGCCCATTCACAATAGCTAAACTCGTGGATTAATGGCCGGCTGAAGATGACAGTCCATTCTTCAGGTAAACAATCGGTCTCTGTGTCCGGACAAAGCAAGCAATGAAGAGCTGATACATCGAAAATTCGCAGCTCTCAACTGTTATGTCAACACTCCAATGTATCCAGTTTTTTCGTTAGCCCAAGCAATCGGATCTATATATCGTGCTTTCTTGTCCTAACCATCATCATTTCTAATAGCAGTATCTACAGAGTAGTATTCTGGGTCGAGGATGAGATGGATTTATCAAATCGGTCGCAGAAAAAAACACTTAGCAGCCGAAATGGCCATGGGCAGCGAAGTGAACAGTGGCCAGGAGACGGATTTTGCAAAGATACCAGATCATGGGTCAGTCGAAATTACTAAGCTTTAGGCATACAAAAATCCTTGGTTATCTTTCGTCTACATAAAGGACTGACTTTATGAGAACTCGAGGTTTCTAAGGCTAAATAGGCAGCATGATCATGACTTTAATAAAATCA